ACCACCATTTTTTAAATGGCCCCCCACTCTGAGTCTCTAGGGGCCCAAGAAAGTGCCATCCTTTTATTCCTAAAATCACTTTCTGAAGAAGTAAACAGGGAGGAGAAATCTCCCCAACATGATTGTCTGTAAATTTCATTTCTTTTCAAATCTTATTTAGGTTCCATTCTGTGGGATCAGAAGACAAATGAAAACCAGGGTGGATGACAATCTTCATGAATATCACTTCACTGAAACCTTCATTTTGCCGTAAACGGCTGGTTACAGATATAGAACACTATATAATCAATGCTTGCTTTCCAGAGATGAGATGCTAACGAAGTCCCACTGAGAATATTTCACTGAAATAGGAGGGTCTTGAGGTGCATGAAAAAGCAAGTTAGGGCTGTCCATTTGCCAAGTGATCTGCATCAGCACAGTGCAGAATGCTGCAGTATCCATCTGCCCTCAGTATTGTACTAGGTCCTATTCTTGTCATACCTGACAAAGGCTTGAGAAGACCAGGCCTGGGCAAAAAGAGAAAATGTTTCCAAACCTTTTAAACAAAAAGCCTGGAGGGAGAGCTAAACTGGGGGAGCTTAGCAGGGCGGGCAGGAGAGAGACAGGGCCCAAGTTCAAAGCAAGAGAGAGGAGGCTGGCAGGCCTTGAGCTGGTAACTCTGGGAAGGGGACCACACTGTCCATGGGGGCTGTGGACAGTAAGACTAAAGAAACTCACCTCAAAATGGAAAAACTAAGGAGCCCAATGAGACTATGCAGGAAACTCAGCAAGGCAGTTTGTCTGGAAAATGGACAGAAAAAGTATATAACAGCTGTGTTTTATACCAGAAGCCCACAAATAGTTGAGAATGTGTGGGATTCAAAACTGATTTTCTCCTCAGTCAATGGCAGAAGAGGGGTCTACTGGAAACATATAGATCAAGTACAAGCATCAGAGTATATATTCGCTGCTCTTCATCTTGCAGCACATATTCTTTATTATTTCAAAGATATCCCAATTACTTCCTAATCTGAGGTACTGCAAAATCATGGTGCCTGTTTGCTGTCTTCATGAAATATTGTCACATCTAACTTACTGCAAAGTGACTGATTTTTCAGGCATGTTTTTCACTTAGTGAAACTTCATTTAATGAACTTTTGGATGATATGATTATAGGATGAAAAATATCTGAAACATTAACAGTGAATTCAACTTAATAGTCATCAAAATAGCTCGTAAAACTCCAGTGCACATAGAGAACAGTGTCGTTTACAAGCTATTGGCAAAAATGCTGGATCTTTCTGCTTGCCAGCCAGAGGCACAGCCTTGTGCCAACTGTATAAATGCAGTTTCTAATTCACTTAGCTGACCAGATTTAAAATTTGTGTAATTCTAAAACAAATATTCTTTCATTTTATATATTTTTTGAGGTATAACTTTCATTCAACATTGTATTAGTTTTAGGTGTTCACCATAATGATTTGATGTTAATATATACTGTGAAGTGATGTTCACAATAGGTCTAGATAGCATCCATCAGAATTTTCTTTCTTTTTTTTTTTCCAGAATTTTTTTATGAGAACTTTTAAGACTATTCTCTTAGAAACTTTCAAATATGCAATATAATATTATTAAATATAGTAGCTATGCTGTATACTACTTCCTTGGGACTTACTTATTTTTAAAAAGAAATCTATTTTATTGATTTTTTTTTTACAGAGAGGACGAGAGAGGGATAGAGAGTTTAAAACATTGATGACAGAGAAACATCGACCAGCTGCCTCCCGCACACCCCCTACTAGGAATGTGCCCCCAACCCAGGTACATGCCCTTGACCAGAATCGAACCTGGGACCTTTCAGTCCACAGGCTGACGCTCAATTCACTAAGCCAAACCGGTTTTGGCAGGACTTACTTATTTATAATTAGAGGCCCAGTGCATGAATTCATGCAAGGGTAGGGTCCAGCTGCCCCCTCCCCCCCAATCGGGCAGATTGGGACCAGCCAGCCAGGGGTAGGGGCCTCAGGCAATTGGCCAGACAGACCCATCCCCGACTGGGGGTAGGGGTTGCTAGGAGGTCGGGGCTGTAGGCGATTAGCCAGCCCCGCCCCCTAGTCAAACTCCTGGCTGAATTCCTGGTGGGGGGGTGTAATTTGCATATTAGCCTTTTGTTATATAAGATTGGAAGATTATGCATTTTGACTCACCCATTTTGCCCATTCCCTACCTCACTACCTCCCACCTCTGGCAACCACCAACCTTCTCTGTATGTCTGAGCTAAAATTAATTTTCTTGCTTTAGGGGAGTCATAGTATTTCCAATATTTTTATATTAGAAGAGGCTTTGCCCTAACCAGTTTGGCTCAGTGGATAGAGCGTCAGCCTGTGGACTGAAAGGTCCCAGGTTCAATGCCAGTCAAGAGCATGTACCCTGGTTGAGAGCACATCCCAGTTAAGGGTTGTGCAAGAGACAGCTGATTGATGTTTCTCTCTCATCGATGTTTTAAACTCTCTATCCCTCTCCCTTCCTCTCTGTAAAAAAAAATAAACAGAATATATATATATATATATATATATATATATATATATATATTTTTTTTTTTTTTTAAAGAAGAGGGTTTGTTAATACTCTTATATCATGTTATCTTTTTAAATGATTTATATTTGCATTACATGAAATCATATATTCATTAGCATGTGTCTTCATTAACTTCTTAGAAGAGATTTTATGTGGAAAGTGCATGCTTTGTCTTCCCTCTTTTCTGTCCACACCATACCTATCCCTCTGTTCTCTCCCTGGTTGATCTCCTCCAGTCTCTTCATTTTAAATATCATCTGCATTTGGGTAATTCTCAGAGGCACTATTTCCAGCCCCAGGCAACTCCAGATCTTTACAACGGTATCAGGTGAACATCTTAAATGTAATATAATCCCAAACAAAATTCTTAGGATCCCCTTAAACCTCCCTTTTCGTTCCCCATTTCAATAAAGAGCAACGCCATCTTCCCTGAAACACCAACTCATCCTTGACTCTCCTTGCTCACACCCACACCCAATCCAACAGGCTCTCCCTTCACTACATCCTGACCTTCACCACTTCACATCTTTCTAGAACCACCACATCAATCTAAGCCATGCCTGGACCACTAGAAGGGGCTCCTGGAGGCTACACTGATTCTACTCTTGCTCCAAAGTCTGTTCTTCACTCAGGAACCAGTAAAACCATTCTGAAGCACAAAAAGGATCACATCACTAGATTACTCAAACATCTCCAGCAGTAACCAATCATATTTAGAAGAAAATCCAAACTCCTTATCATAGCCTACAAGATCTGGCTCCCACCTAACATTGATCTCATTTCATACCACCCTCCCTCCTATAAATATCCCGCAGCTCATGGCCAGCCAAACTGGCTGCCTTCTGGGTCCTCTATTACTCCGAGATCCGCCATCATCAAAAGCCTCTCTTTTAGCTTACTGTTCCCCTCTGCCTAAACACTCCTCCCCAGATCCCGCCACTCCTTTCAGATTTCTGCACAAAATCTCTCCCCCCTCTTCCTCCCAGCCCCCACCTCACAGAGCTTTTCAAACCAGTCTTTCAAAAAGAGCCCCGTCTAGCCCCTCACCGTTTTCTTTTTTACATCACTTATTACTACCTGAAATGATATTATCTATTGAGCTATTTATTTCATTCATAAAATTATATTTAGTGAGCACCAATCAAGAGCAAGGTGCTCTTCTCAGAGCTGAGGATACAGCGGTGAATGAGATGCACAGACTCCTGCCCCAGTGGAGCCCACATTCTTGTCTGTCACCCCCTCTTAGATCTAAGCCCCAGGGAAACATGCACACAGTCTGTCTCCAGTGCCCAGAGCGGTGCCTTGCCACAGAGAGGGCATTAGTACATGTTTGCTGAATGGGTAAAGTGTCCCAGCCACCTGACGTCATCTGCTCCCCTGGGGACTCCCATCCCAGAGCCTTCATGCCTACCAGATGGGACTCCAGTTATTGGGCCCAGAATGTTCACCATGTCCCTTTAAGACACAGTAATCTGGACAATCAGCTCTTCAAGTCTGAGATGGGTCCCTAACCCCAGGTCTGCCAGTCCCAACTGCCTGCCCTTCCTTCCAGCTCCAGCACCCACCACCCTGCAAGCTTCCCAGGTGGCCTTACCACGGGGGTTTGTCTCCCAGGGACACAAGAGCACCTGGTCCACATGGAGCGAGCTGACCAGGGAGTCAGCATCAGACAAGCCAGCTTTCTCAAAAGAGAGCGTCTGGAATCTCATAGCACAGGTCAGACAGCCTCCTGGCTCCTCCACAGCCCACACAGACCTTCAACATCAACTAGCTGGCAGGCCTCAAGGCAGTCTCACCTCAGCTTTGGAACAAAGTCTTGCTAAGCACATATCTTTGCGTCTTTCAATTGCACAGAGGCAAAACGTTTACTGTTGTGATGAGTAAATCAGTTTCTTTCCAAAAGAGGACATCTGTTAACTGTGAAATTATCTGATTGCAAATAAAAATAAAGGTAACTATGAAATGTAATTAATTTATCTTTAAACACACACACACACACACACACACACACACACACACACACAGCAGCTGTGGTGGTATAAAGGTGAAAAGAAAAGAAAATGCAAATATCTGAAGGTCTGGAGGTATTTAAAATTCAGGTTTTCATCATATAGTCCCGTTTTATTTTTTAGCTTAGAATTGCCCTGCCAAATAAGATTACCTTATATTTGAGGAGCATTTTATTCTCTGGAAGTGTTCTCTCTTAGGCAATCTCTTTTAGCAGGGCAGGATTCATTTCAGTCTGGAGCCCAGAGAGGTCCAACAAGTCACCTAACATCCCACAGTAACAGTGGCAGAACCCAGAGGGTACCAGAACTCAGATATGCTGAGGTCCGGCCCCTCCTTTCCTTCCATAATAGGAAGGACAGCGTGGTCTCCTGAAAATCACATCCTATCGTCCACTGAAAACATTCCCCTTCACTGCAGAAGAAAATCACACCTACATTCACCAGCGGTGTAGGGCCATGGACAGATGCATTGGTCCTGGAGCTCCGGGTAGAGAGAGGGCTTCACAGACTCTTCCGACAAACGCCACGTCCTGAAATGACAAACATATACAACATCTGGTATGAATCCGGCACCTGTGGCCTCTCTCCAAGGACGCCACCCAAACACCAATTGCAAGGCGCCCTGTTACACTCAAAGCTCCCTGCTCCTCTTCCAGCCCACTCCCTTCCCGCTCTGACTTCCCCAGGAGAACAAGACTCTTCAGCTCACCAGCTGAAATGGTCCCCTTTAGAGTCACTGGATCTTGGGCAGAAAGAGGCACTAGAGATCATGTACTATGGGAACACGGAGTGAAAGCCGAATGGGTCACATCTAGCCTGCAGAGGCATTACATTGAATTACAGAGTATGTTTAGAAAATGCAAGCCAAGCTAAAAAGTCAGAGACGTCATAAAAGCCAGACTTCTGGAACCGAGACCTCTGGCTTCTCTTTAAAAAAGAAAAATCAGAGGGTCTCAAAATGGGCCCATATTCATGTCTGAACATGATCAGCTGATGCTAAGTAGCAGTTGCCTTTCCTAGGCAAGCTTGGTTATCCCAATGCCACAGTCCCCATCACTCCCTACTGTCTCAACAAACAGAAGAGTTGGGATTGTAATTTACAGAGAAGAGCTGTAATTGTAATGTCACTGCCCTTGCATTACTGTTTTTCTTGTGGTACAGAAATAATTCCCTCTACCTATGATTTTTAACAAAAGTGGGAAAACAGAAGAAAAGGGGGCTGTGAGTTCCAAGCGGAAAATAAATGGTAGAGCACATACAGCAACTTAAGTTAGTAAGCTCACTCCTGTAGCCCTGCGCAAGTACAACCACTCCCATTTTATAATGTAAAGCAGGAAACTGACTTGCCCACTTCCACGGTTAAGGGTAGAGCTAATTCTAGAATCTAGGTCTCTTGACTGACAATCCACAAACTTTTACTATGCCCCATTGCATAGCAGTATTATATTATGAAGCTAAAAAATTAAATATTATATACCTCTCTGACTCTGGCCAATCTGAGCAGGCTTTTTACTAGAATACAGTGTAGCTTCGGGTACAGAATATGTATAATTTGCATGCATAAAAAGCCTGCTTGGATTGGCTGAGTTAGAGAGGTGGTCTATTAAAAAAAGAACTGGTGTTGCCTCGGAAGTGGGGGGTAGTCTTATACAGCGAATATAGGCCTAAACCTATGTTTTAACTGTAAAATTAGGGGGTCATCTTATACGCCCGGTTGTCTTATACGCTGGAAAATACGGTAGACAGATGATGATGATGATAGATAGATAGAGAGAGAGAGAGAGAGAGAGAGAGAGGGAGAGAGAGAAATCTGTGTGTGCTTCTCTCAAGCTAATACTAAATACAAGGAAATACATTTGAAGTATCCAACCCACTTTGTACTAAAATTCTCTCCATGCCTTTATTTGTAAAAAATAAAAATAAAAAATTAGCCGGCACCAGTTTGGCTCAGTGGATAGAGCATCGGCTTGAGGACTGAAAGGTCCTGGGTTCGATTCCGGTCAAGGGCATATACCTTGGTTGCGGGCACATCCCCAGTAGGGGGTGTGCAAGACGCAGCTGGTCGATGACTCTCTCTCATTGATGTTTCTAACTCTCTATCCCTCTCTCTTCCTCTCTGTGAAAAATCAATAAAATATATATATTTTTTAAAAAAAATAAAAAAATAAAAAATTAGCCGAAGCCGGTTTGGCTCAGTGGTAGAGCGTAGGTCTGCGGACTGAAAGATCCCAGGTTCGATTCCGGTCAAGGGCATGTACCTTGGTTGCGGGCACATCCCCAGTAGGGGGTGTGCAAGAGGCAGCTGGTCGATGTTTCCCTCTCATCGACATTTCTAGCTCTCTATCTCTCTCCCTTTCTCTCTGTTAAAAATCAATAAAATATATTTAAAAAAATAATTAATTAATTAATTAAAAAAAGTAGATGCTATCAGGATTTTTAAGGGTTTGTTTCTGAATGTGAAATTTTCAATAATTTTGCTGTCTTAAATACAAAAATAAAGAACACAAATACAATGCATCTACTACTTCAAAAGTGTTCAGTTAATGTCCTAAACTGTCTAAAATATATTCTTTTTGCTAGAAAAATTCCCCTTTACAAAGCTATAAATAAGCTTATGTGCAAGGTACTAGCACTGTAATAAGTGAATGATGTTCACAACTAGAAGACCTTGGTGGGAGTTATTTATATCATCCCCCAACGGATGTATTGATTCATTCACTCAGCAGATATGTGCTGAGCCAGTTACACGCCAGGCAGCGTGCAAGGTGACTGAGATACAAGGAAGAACAGGACCCAGTCCTTGCCCGTAAGTTGCTCTGTCCTGTTCTGCCCATCAACTTCCCCGGAGGAGTTGTTCTGTTCTTCATGGATAAGAGAGAGGAGGCACCACTCTTGATCTAGGCTGAGGCAAAGGGGGTGGGGGGATGAAGGAGTATTGAGAGCAAGGATAGCATCCCCCAAAGACAAGCTTTTGGAAAGGGGTATATATAGGAGTGAAGACCAAGTACATGGCCATGGTCACAGCTCAGTGTTCAAGGCCAGGACAAGGATACAAGCAGGCAGAATTCACTGTAAAAGTGAGAAGAGCTTCCCTAGATCTCTAACTGACAAGCTCTTCTCTCAAAAAAAAAAAAAAAAAAAAAAAATGTCCTGGGTCCCAGACCCATCAAATCAGAGTCTCAACTAGAGAGATCTCTTCCCTGACATCACCGGATGCTACTGGGCGACCTTCAGACAGCCCAGTGCCAGAGAAACCAATGGCTGACCAAGGTCAGCCTTCCGGATTGCAAGGCCCAGCAACAATGCACAATGTCCTTCACTAATACAGCAGTCCCCTTCAACGTGAGGGTTCTTCACTGAGTCTCTGATTTGAAGGCCCAAGAATTATTCAGGTGATTCTGGTGCCCAGACTCCGGAACCATTTGGAAAAGGGCATCTTTCACCCAGAGGCTTCAGGAGCTCCTGAACGAGCTCCTTAAGCTCATTAATTCAGCATCCCTGAGGCAGTACTCAAGGGTCCAGGCTTTGGGGGATTTAAACATTCTTAGTACATTTATCCATTCCCTACATCGCATTATGACATCCATCACTTAACTCCTTTTTATTTCAAGTAAATAAAAATACATCAAATGCCAGCAGCCAGGATGCAAAGTAGGTAAGTGAAGGCGGCCTCCTGTACCCAATGCCAATGCCTCCGGATAAACCGCTGGATTTGTCCAGTCTCAGCAAAAACTGAGCCCTCATACACCTGTGCAAGCTTATCCTGGCAGAACAGAAGGTCTGGGAGCACTCGGTCATCAAGGTGGCCTTCGAGGAACAGCTCCAAGGCACACAGCGCTCAGATCAGGTCCTTACTGCCCACAGAGCAGGACACTGCGGATCAATACAGTGCCTGGAAACCCGCCAAGCCAGCGGAGCACTTCTCTTCCCAGATTTCCACTTTGTGGTCAAGTAACAACCTGAGCAATCTTAAGCCAAAAATGGCAAAGTAAAAGCTGTGGACCACGAAGATGACAGATCAGAGTAAGCTGGTTCCTTGAATGGGCCAGTCTAGAGAGATCTCTTCTCTGACATCACCGGATGTTACCAGGCGACCTGCAGATAGCACAGTGCCAGAGACACCAATGGCTGACCAAGGTCAGCCTTCCGGATTTTGCAAGGCCCAGCAACAATGCACAATGTCCTTCACTAAGACGAGAGTCCCCTTCAACGTGAGGGTTCTTCACTGAGTCATAATGCAAATGTGGAAGAGCATGGTTGAGCACGAGGACTAGAAAAAGCTCAAGATACTAACTGACCACTCTGGTGGTCCTCAACTTTTAGGAGATCCATTATTCCCTACAGAACCATTATAAACTTGCCTAAAACAAGACCTCTCTCTCACTCAATCATCCAAAATAATTGCTCCAGGCCCTACCAACTACCTTGAACCATTACCTATCCACCTCATCTATATCTTCATCTCTACCCCATCCCAAGAGTAAAGGATAATACTAGAGGCAGTAAGTCACTACCTTAGCCACCTTTGTTCCTACCAAACATCAATCCAGACCATCCTATCAGCTCTGGGCCAATGGGGGCCTCTCCAGTTAAATATTCTCACAGACCATGCATGACTCCATCATGGCACAAAGCACCTACTCATGCTTGCCTTTTTGTTGTTTTTCATGTTTTAAGGGGTCTTTTGTTTGACTGGCTAATCACTGTATCCCAATATACTTCCTTCAAAACCTCCAGGTTGTTTCAAGAATATACCTCTAATTTCATATCATCCAGCCAAAAGATGATCAAGCCAACCCATTCCCCAACTCCGTAGTCTTGCCACTAGCTTCTGAAATCTAAGCAGCCACTAATTAGCCCACTGATTCAGTGAAGTTTATGAATGACTCTGCTTAGAAAGCTAGTGGAGAATTGGAGAAAATCCTCAACTGATCCTGAGGCTAACCAACTAAGGAAGGAAACAAAGCAGAATAATAATTATCTTTTTATTTATTTTGTGCAATGCTTTTTTTCTTAAATCACATTGCTTTTTTAAAATATATATATATATTATTGATTTTTTACAGAGAGGAAGAGAGAGGGACAGAGAGTTAGAAACATCGATGAGAGAGAATCATCGATTAGCTGCCTCTTGCATACCTCCTACTGGGGATGTGCCCGCAACCAATGTACATGCCCTTGACCTTTCAGTCCGCAGACCGATGCTCTATCCACTGAGCCAATCCGGTTTCAGCTGGGGTTTTTTTGTTTTTTGTTTTTTACCTTGAAGAGCACTTCCCTGTTTCCCAGAACCAGCTTCATTGAGGCCATGCCCAGTGCCACATCCTCAGGACTTGAACGACGTGGAAGCTTCCAAGGCGCTCAATGCCAACGTGGCTCAAGCATCTCTCGCCTCTGGTCCCACTGCCCAGCTGTCCTCCCTTCACACCCCTTGTCAGTGGAAAGTGGGTTTGGAGGAGCTTTTTAAAGTTCTCCCACCCACTCCACAAATCCAGTAGGAGCGAGAACGAATGTTTCCAAGTTTGCTGAA